GAACTCCCCGCCGCTGGGCCCCGGCCTGCAGCTACACGCCGCCGCCGCCGCCCTTCCTGAACTCCCCGCCGCTGGGCCCCGGCCTGCAGCCTCTCGGGCCGCCGCCGCCGCCCGCCTACCCGTGCGGGCCCGGCTTCGGGGACAAGTTCCCGCTGGACGAGGCGGACCCGCGCAACAGCAGCATCGCGGCGCTGCGCCTGAAAGCCAAGGAGCACATCCAGGCCATCGGGAAGCCGTGGCAGGCCCTCTAGGGGCACTGGGGACCGTCCGGGGAGCCGACCCCGAGCCGGGCGCACCGTACCTTCCCCCTCTCTCCCCGGGTCCCCCACTCGGCCATTCTTTCCCCGTCCCGCCTGCAAGTCGCGGGCCAGGCTGCGGTCAGGAACGCGCGCCTGCTCCTGGCGCACCGGGGAGGGACAATTGCCAGGCGGGAGGAGGCCCTCGGGCTACCCCCACACCTCCACGGACCCCCAGCCCGGCTGCTGGACAAGAGGCTGCCTGGCCCCTCCGGCCACGCCGTGGGTCTGGAGTCTCCAGGCCCAATAGGCCAAAGCTCCTGACCTTGGCGGTTCCCTGGAGGCTCGGCGACCCTAGATAACCATAAGAGGGAGGAAGGGGAGGCGGAAAGATAGAGTTTGAGGAACGGTTTGTATAAGTAGTTGCAAAGTATTTGGGAGGAGAATTAAAGATTGCTTGGTTTAATTTGACTCTGGTTAAGCAGGCTGAGGACTGCGCGGGGTGCGGGGTGCGGGGTGGGGGAGGGAGTGAATGTGGGGGTACCGGAAGAGGGTGCGGTGATGGGCCGGGAGGGTCAGGGAAAGCACAGGACTCAGCAAGAACTCGGCGCTCCCTCGTGCAAATTCGGGGCCACTTTGCTGCAGCAGAGAATCGTCCCCATCCCCGACGCTGCGGAACCCTGGACCAGAGACGCCCTTGCCTGGCGCCGGCGAGCGCGGGCAAGTGTGTGGGGTTGAGGGTGTCTGAGGCCTAAGACTCCAGCGCGTTCCCACTTCCTTGATACCCCAATAGCCAAGCGGCGGTTGCTACTTTGAAGGACTGACCCCAATAGGAAGCGTCCACACCACCTTTCCCAGGGTGAAAGTGCAGCGTCCCGCAGCTCCTGGCGTCCGCTTTCCAGTGCCTCTCTGTCCAAGGGCCTCGCTCAGATTATTGTGCTCGTTACCGGCTCAGTGCCAGTCCCTGCCACCCAGGGTTGATGACATTAGTCCTCCAAGGGCTGAGGCGGAACGACATTTCCCTTTCTGAGCCCCAAGCCTCTCGCCTCCCCAACTCGCTTCGCACCCCCAACCTAGAGTTCTGTTAAACCCGCACCGGGTTAGCTGCAGAGCTCCGAGTCGCCGCCCCGAAGGCTCATCCTCGCTGGCGGGTCGTGGGCAGTATTGGCAGTTCTTTGGCGCCGGCTCTGGGACGGGGAAGCAATCCCGAGGTCTAGGCTTCAGAAGGTCCTGCGGTCTCGCGGAGTCCGGAGAGAAGGAGAGTCCGGGACTCCCGCCTGAGCTCCCGCGGTGTCTGCCTTCGACCCTGGAAGCTGGGCCATCGCAGGCATAACCTGGATTTCTGTTGCACAGTCCTTGGGGGGACGGGGGCGGGGACGGGTCGGGGGCTCCCGATGAGTGCACGGGGGATGACGTGGCCAGAGTCTTAGCATCAACCACATCCTTACTTTCTGTCTGTCCTTAGCATATTAGTGAAGCTCCCCAGTCCCCTTTCCTCGTCTAAATGAACCCTACCTCGCTGGGAGGTGGGAAAGATGGAATAAAACCACCTGTAAAGGCTTTGTGTTAACTACTAAGGAGCCGGCATGAGGCAATACACGTTGTAATCACGGCCTCCCTGTCACCACAGTATTCCCAGGCTGCTCTCCAGTTACTGAAACTTTTTAGAGAAAAACTTTCCGGGCACTGGGGGGTGAGGGGGGGGCGTCGGGAGGGAGGGTTGGGGGGTGTCATCGCTGGATCCAATCTTTGCTCTGCAGGTCCTGAGAGTTTATGGCATAACCAGGGCTGTGTACACCTAGACCTCCATCTGGTGCTTTGCACATAGTAGGCCAGTCAGCAAGAATTCATTGAATAGGTCATTTTCCCCAAGATGTAGGGAATAAAACCTGCACTTTCCCTCACAAGGATGTCTCCATGGGGAAATGGATGGAGCCACCCAAGTAATATCAGCTCTTAACAAGCGAAAAATAAGCAAACTCAGGATGAATGTGTATGTACATTTCTTTCAGTCTGGCCTATCTTCTCTCTCATCCTTTAATGCCCCAGTTTTAATATGGATGATCTATTAGGAGAACTCTCAACCTCGCTGGCCCCAGGTGAGTGCCACACTTGCTCTGCCCTCCTTCCTGGTCACCTGTGACCCTGACCACCCCACTATCAGTATCTTCATCATTTCTCTTAGATCATTTCCATGATTATTCATGTTGTCTCCTCTCTGCTGTTTTACTATTCTTCTTTCCACATGGAGTTTCCCTGCTATTTCCCCTTCCTTTTCCAATATTTAGTTTCATCTGAAAATAGATGCTCCTCTAAACCATCTCCCTAGGCACCAACTGAGTGAGCCATACCCAGATTTCAGAGACAAGTCCTTCGAAAATAATCATAAAAATACTAATAATAGCTAATGATCATTGAAGGCTTACTATGTGCCAGCACTCTCCTAACAGGTTTATATCCACTAATTAAGGTAAGCTTCACAACAACCCTACCAGGCAGATACAATTAGTCTCAATTTATAAATGAGGAAACTGAGGCACAGAGAGGTTGCCCAGTCAGTTCATGATCATAGTGCATGTTCAAAAAACATTGCTGAATAAGTGCTCCTTATTTCAATTCCTAAGAACAGCTCATTAGGCCACACTGGGACTTGAGAACCTGAGGGGTGGTTGCTAGCTGTGTGTGCTTTCCTGGGCCTCCTGGGGAGGTCTGGACACAGCATCAGCCCCAGCCCGCACCCCCCAGGATCTGCCTGACAGGGCAGCTCTAAGGGCAAGCCACTTATTAACAATTCCAGGGGTAAGGGTGCAGGTGGGACGGGTTAGAGTTGCTGCTTGAGATTGCTACTGGGTTACTGCTCAAGCTCATTGCTACAGAAAGCATTTTGCAGTGGCGCCGGCCAAGGTGGGCACAGACTTCCATCTTCACATCTAGACTGTGCTGACTCTGGATGGGGGGGAGGGCGGGCGGGGAGCACAAGCCTTTCGGAGCCCCCGAGAGAAAGGCCTCCCCCGGTAGGCCTGTATCATTTTCCCAAGAATCACTTTCAATGGTTCTTGAATTTTCCACAATGAGGTTGCAGGTTTGGCTCAGGCGATGCCACCAGTGTCCACTGAAGGAGAATAAGAACCAGGCGAGAGTGGTCTTAAGCGGTTTGGGGAGGAAAGGCACTGTGCTGTTCCAAGCACAGCGACCTAGGTCGAGGCAGGCTTGATTCGGGCCGCCTTGGCTCAGATCAGTCTAAGAGGGAGGCACTGGGGATCACCCCACCAACCTCCCCACCCCCATTGCCAGGACGACTTCTGCTCTGGGCCGCCTTCGAATGGAAACAGGTGGGTCTGCAGATCTGATCCTTCCTGCTCTTGGGAACCAGGTTGGGCGGGGCCTGGGCGGGGCTCTCTGACCGTAGGGGCGGGGCAGAAAAGGACGCCTTGGATTGGGCCGTGCAGGGAGAAGGGCGGAGTTAGGCAGAGCAGTGGGTGGTGGCGCGCTGACCGCCTCGTGCGCAGCGGGGACCCTTGGCTGACGCAGGGAACCCGAGTCCGCGCGGGGCAGGTCTCCTCCGCCACCCCCGCTGCCATCAGCCACCCCTGCCGCGGTGGGGGCGTTTCAGCTTTCGCGTTGCCTTCCTTTCTGGAGGAGTCGCTTCCTGCGCCCGAGGGTGGCGTGTCCGCACTGCGCGCCACGGCTCCTGTTGGCGATACTCTCCGGCTGAGGTCTTCGCTTCCGCTTGTCGTCCGTCTGCGGAGCCACGGGGTCCGAGAGCAGTCGCAGGGCCGCGGAGGCCCCCTCGCTCCGTGTCCCGGGGACCGGTCCGGATTGTTTATCCCTCGTGGGTTTCCTGCTTCCCACCCAGCTCTGACCCCCGCGGGTCCGAGCTCCCCCCTGTGCTGCCCGGGAGGGTGACTGGGGCTGGTGCAGGTGGGAGGGGGTTGAGGGACTGGGAGAGACCCCTTCGGAGGGGCGGGCTTCAGCCAGAGGTCGGCAACTGACTGGGAGCACCCCGCTGTATTGATCTGTTTTGAACAGTATTTAACTTTTGGGGAGATGGGAAAAGTCAAGCTAGGGGAGACGATCCCCTACCCGCCCCCACCACCGTCCCAGCTAATCTGGAATCTGGCGAGGGGAGGTGGGGAATGAATGCCAGTCCCTCCATCTCTCGGTCAAATTCACCGGTCGGTTGAAAAGCCTTTGCAGAGACCGCTCAGGCCCACGTGCAGGAGGGGCGGGCAGGGCAGGACCCCCGACGCGCTGCGGCCCCGAGAGCTCCGGCGGCTTACCTCCGCCTCCACCCGCACCCAGCTCCGACCCCGGCCCCAGACCCCTCAGCCCACTCCCAGCCTCGCTCAGTCCGCTTCTCCCGCTCCATTCCGAGCGCTCCTTTTCACCAAGAGTCTTAGTACGTGAATGGAATCCAAGGTTTCAGGAGGAGGTAGGAAAAGACTTTCAGGGGAGATAATATTAATTAATATTTGGCACTTCTGCTCTGCTCAGGAAGCGCGAGCTCCGCACCCTCCCTGGGAAAGGCGAGGCCCGGCAGCGCCAGGCGGGCGCGCCCGACCCTTCCGGAGGCCGATGGTGAGCTTTGTGACCAATGTTGTCCCCGTAATTGGGGACCGGCTTTAATAATCTGGCCTCGGCTTGTTAACTGTACAATAGTGGGCAGAGTTAATGACTCATTAGGTAGTAATTCCTTAACCGCTCCTTAATTGCTCACTGTAAAACCCCTTTCGTAAAACTGGATTAAATCATCTAGATCCTTGGCCACGCCTCGCGCAGCCCAGGGGACGCAGAGCCTGCTGGGTTCCCACTACCTTGGTCGCTTCTTCGTGGCGGATGCAGTGGTGGCGGCCCCTAGCCCGGGAGTTGGGAGATCAGTGGTCCAGTCGTGACACTGGCTGTCTTGTGACCTTAAGCGGGGCTTAAACAAGCTCACAGTGGGGCTAGATCTATTAAGATGGCTCCTTCTCTCATCACCCACCACAGACACTTAAAATATAACACCTCATTCTAGA